ACTGAGGGACACACAGAATTGTTACTCATTGTTACTCAGGGACACAGAATTGTTACTCAGGGGACACACAGAATTGTTACTCAGGGACACACAGAATTGTTACTTACAGAGGGACACAGAATTGTTACTACTGAGGGACACAGAATTGTTACTGAGGGACACAGAATTGTTACTCTCAGGGACACAGAATTGTTACTCAGGGACACAGAATTGTTACTGAGGGACAGGGACAGAATCGTTACTCAGGGACACAGAATTGTTACTCAGGGACACAGAATTGTTTACTCAGGGACACAGAATTGTTACTCAGGGACACAGAATTGTTACTCAGGGACACAGAATTGTTACTCAGGGGACACAGAATTGTTACTCAGGGACACAGAATTGTTACTCAGGGACACAGAATTGTTACTGAGGGACACAGAATTGTTACTCAGGGACACAGAATTGTTACTCAGGGACACAGAATTGTTACTCAGGGACACAGAATCGTTACTCAGGGACACAGAATCGTTGAATTAAAGAGTATGTCAGACAACACGCAGAGGAGTGGCAGAGGAGGCAATGTTTTAGGAGCGAGCAGACGTGGCAGCAGAGGAAGGGGTCGAGGCAGCACTAGTCGCAGCCAGAGGCCAGTGCTCCCGGTGTCATCCAGCGGTCGTGTCTCCACCGACAACCCTGCCGTCATCATCGATTGGTTGGCTCGGTCTCGTCTTCCTCTTTCCCCAGGTCACCTCTGACACCTACAGCCAACGGTCGGTGGGTACGTCAGACACAACCGTTAGTTGGCATGGCCCGGGAGCAAGCCCACTGAAATCACGTGTCCTCTACCTGCCCCTGTCCTTTGGTGTTCCCTCACCAAAGCGAAGTATCGCATGCTGTGGGCTCAGCCCCACTGTACAGTGAGGAAGAGCTAACAGAGGGCGGTCAGGAACGGGGGGAGACATCCGCCTCTTCAGCAGCCAGGCGAAGAAGTACTGGCGAGGAGAGTGGCTCGGTAGCCGGTCTAGAGACAGGTCTGTCTCCTGACCCACACGCAGCCGAGGAGGGGGCTAGTAGTGAGGCGGAGACCCTAATTGATGATGATGAGGCTGATCGCACTTGGCAGCCTCGTCGTCATCAGGCTATTGCTTCCGCATCATCAGGAGAAGAGGGTGCCAGCTTGGCAGCGAGCAAAACAGTCGGTGGGTTGCCCAGGAGGCAGCAGGGTCGCAGCAGTGTCAGTGGAGGCAAACGGCCACGGAGTAGAGCACCAGCTCCACTGCAGCCTACCACCACGGCCAGTAGTGGTGCCGGTGTGCACGGAGGAAGTAGCAGTCAGCCAGTGAGGAGTAGCGGGGGCAAAGTTTCCTACTCGGCGGTGTGGCAATTTTTCGTCAAGCCGCCCGAGGAAGTAAACGTAGCCGTATGTCGACTATGTGGCCAGAAAGTCAAGCGTGGCCAGGGGGCCCATGTTGGGACTACAGCGTTGCGTCAGCATATGCAGCGTCGCCATTCGGTGGCCTGGGAAAACCGTGATAAAGATACGGCGGTTCTGCTGCCTGCCCCAGCCCCCCCCGCTCCATCACCCGCTCCGTTACTTGCTCCGTCACCCACGTCGTCAATCGCCCTCTATCAGCCAGTCAAGGCTCCAACACCTCTGCTGAGGGGAGTTGTCGCTCGTTGGCATCTTCCGCTCGTTCAGATGCTCCTTCTCCTGCTACTCCCTCTTCACGGATTCCGTCAGCAGTCTTTCTTGGAATCCGTTTCCAAGAGACAACAGTTTGCGAGCACGCACCCGACGGTGCAGAAGCTGAACGTCCTCCTGTCCAAGTTGCTGGTGCTGCAGTCCCTCCCTTTCCAAGTGGTGGACTCAGCACCTTTCCGAGAAATGATGGCTTGTGCCGCGCCGCGGTGGAGAGTGCCAAGCCGGCATTTCTTCGCCAAAAAGGCAGTGCCAGCCCTGCATTCACATGTAGAAGAGATGGTGGGGCCAGTCTTTGAGCATGTCGGTCTCTGCCAAAGTGCACGGCAGCGCCGACGTGTGGAGCTGTAACTACGGTCAGGGACAGTACATGTCATTTACGGCCCACTGGGTGAACGTGGTGCCGGCACAGCCGCACCAGCAACTTGGACAGGTCACGCCGCTTTTGCCTCCACGTTTGCACGTCCTTGGTCCAGCAAAGATGTCCGCCTCTACCACCTCTTCTTCCGCCGTGTGTCCTCAGCCGCCACCCCCCCCCCCAAGTCCCATTACCCGACCGGCATATCACATGTGCAGGGCGCAACGGTGTCACGCTGTGCTGCACCTGGTATGCCTTGGCGAACGTAGTCACACAGGGGAGGAACTTCTGAGTGTAATGAACAGAGAAATCGACAGATGGCTGTCTCCGCGCAAACTGAAAATCGGAAACCATGTTGACCGACAACGGAAAGAACATGGTGTCTGCTCTGCGTCAAGGAAGGTTGTGCCATGCGCGCCATGCATGGCTCACGTGTTCAATCTGGTTGTCAAGCGGTTCCTAAAATCCACCATCCCACTGCAAGACATCCTTAAAATGTCACGTAAACTTTGCATGCATTTCAGCCATTCCTACACCGCAAAGCACACCCTCCTTGAGCTGCAGCGGCAGAACGGAATTCCACAGCATCGCCTGATCTGCGACGTTGCAACAAGGTGGAATTCAACCCTACATATGTTAGACCGCCTTTACGAACAGCGAAAGGCCATCACCGATTTCCTGATGTTACAAGCGGATAAAGGTACTCCCCTGTGTAACTTCGATGTCAGCCATTGGCAGCTCATGCGTGACACCTGCCGCTTGCTCAGGCCCTTTGAGGAGGCCACGCTATTCGTGAGTCGGCAGGACTATGGGATGAACGACGTCATTCCTCTGTTGCACGTCCTGGAACAAATGCTGTTAACAATGGCTGGTCAGGGTGCGGTAGACGTGGCGCACAGATCTCAACGCCACATGACCCCTGTGGGGGCAGGACAGGAAGAAGAGGAGGAGGTAGAGGAGGACATTGGTGCTCAGGAATTATTGAGTGAAATGGGTGGTTTTTCCACTCAGCGGACAGGAGTGGAGGAGCAGGAGCATCTGGTAGAGGAGGAGGAGGAGGAGACAGAGGAGACCCAGACGCACCGTGGCAGTATGCTGTGGAGATGGAGGCAGGGAGTCCCTCGCATTCCTTGGCACAAATGGCCCATAGCATGCTCGGTTGCTTGCGTAGCGACAGCCGAATAATAACCATCAGACAGAGGGATGACTTTTGGCTGTCCACCTTGTTGGACCCTCTCGCTACCGTTCAAAAATGGTGGCCTTTTTCACACCTGCTGAGAGGGAGGCAAAATAACGTACTATAAAAAACCACCTATGTAGTCAGTTGGTCTCTGCCTTTCTGCGCCAACGTCCATCCTCAGACACACTGTGGGCCCTGTGCGCTCGCGTTCCGCTGCCATGGCAGCAGGGGAGGGGTGGGGTGGTAGGAGCAGTGGCAGCTCCACCAGCAGCGGCTGCCTCAGTCTGCAGTCGATGATGAGTAGCTTTCTTCACCAGCGCAGTGAGGAAACTACTAACCAGCCGCAGCAGCAGCAGCATCAGGTGGACCTGGAGCAGGACCTCAAACAACAGGCTTGGGCCTACTTGGACAGCACCCTGCCAACCGAGGTAGACAATCCCCTTGACTACTGGGCAACGAAACTTGACCTTTGGCCCCAACTAGCTGAATTTGCCCTTGAAAGGCTGTCATGCCCGGCCAGTAGCGTGGCATCGGAGCGCGTGTTTAGTGCGGCAGGAGGTATTGTAACTCCGCGGAGGACACGACTGTCCACCCAAAGTGTGGAGAGACTCACGTTTGTGAAAATGAATCAGGCGTGGATTAGTCTGGATTTCAAACCACCAGTTCCTGACACAACTGACTAAATCCGCCATGAATCATGCCCCAAACATGTTATTATTTTTAACATAGGGTGCTGGCCTCTGTATGGCCTTCAATTTAAGCTGCTTACGCTTCGCCCGTACTCTGCCATGGGCCCCTGTACCGCCTCCTCTTGCTGCTGCCAGGTCCAGAGTGTGTCATGGGTCCCTGTACGGCCTCCCATTGCTGCTGTCTCCATCGCCACACTCTGCCTGCCACTTTCAGGTCTCCTCACACTGCTGGTGGGTTCCATTTTGTCATAGGGTGCTGGCAGATTACGGGCCTCCCATTGCTGCTGCCAGGCCCGTTTCTGCCATGGGCCCCAGATTAACGGCCTCCCCATTGCTGCTGCCAGGCCCGTAATCTGTCATGGGCCCCTGTACCCGCCTCCTCATGCTTGCTGCTGCCAGGTCCAGAGTGTGTCATGGGTCCCTGTACGGCCTCCCATTGCTGCTGTCTCCATCGCCACACTCTGCCATGTGCCACTTTCAGGTCTCCTCACACTGCTGGTGGGTTCCATTTTGTCATAGGGTGCTGGCAGATTACGGGCCTCCCATTGCTGCTGCCAGGCCCGTAATCTGCCATGGGCCCCCGTACCGACTCCTCATGCTGCTGCCAGGCCCGTAATCTGTCATGGGCCCCTGTACCGCCTCCTCATGCTGCTGCCAGGTCCAGAGTGTGTCATGGGTCCCTGTACGGCCTCCCATTGCTGCTGTCTCCATCGCCACACTCTGCCATGTGCCACTTTCAGGTCTCCTCACACTGCTGGTGGGTTCCATTTTTTTGTCATAGGGTGCTGGCAGATTACGGGCCTCCCATTGCTGCTGCCAGGCCCGTAATCTGCCATGGGCCCCCGTAATCCTCATGCTGCTGCCAGGCCCGTAATCTGTCATGGGCCCCCCCCGCCTCCTCATGCTGCTGCCAGGTCCAGAGTGTCTCATGGGTCCCTGTACGGCCTCCCATTGCTGCTGTCTCCATCGCCACACTCTGCCATGTGCCACTTTCAGGTCTCCTCACACACTGCTGGTGGGTTCCATTTTGTCATAGGGTGCTGGCAGATTACGGGCCTCCCATTGCTGCTGCCAGGCCCGTAATCTGCCATGGGCCCCTGTACCGCCTCCTCATGCTGCTGCCAGGTCCAGAGTGTGTCATGGGTCCCTGTACGGCCTCCCATTGCTGCTGCTGTCCATCGCCACACTCTGCCATGTGCCACTTTCAGGTCTCCTCACACTGCTGGTGGGTTCCATTTTGTCATAGGGTGCTGGCAGATTACGGGCCTCCCATTGCTGCTGCCAGGCCCGTAATCTGCCATGGGGCCCCCGTACCGACTCCTCATGCTGCTGCCAGGCCCGTAATCTGTCATGGGCCCCTGTACCGCCTCCTCCATGCTGCTGCCAGGTCCAGAGTGTGTCATGGTCCCTGTACGGCCTCCCATTGCTGCTGCCAGGCCCGTAATCTGCCATGGGCCCCGTACCGACTCCTCATGCTGCTGCCAGGCCCGTAATCTGTCATGGGCTCCTGTACCGCCTCCTCATGCTGCTGCCAGGTCCAGAGTGTGTCATGGGTCCCTGTACGGCCTCCCATTGCTGCTGTCTCCATCGCCACACTCTGCCATGTGCCACTTTCAGGTCTCCTCACACTGCTGGTGGGTTCCATTTTTGTCATAGGGTGCTGGCAGATTACGGGCCTCCCATTGCTGCTGCTGCCAGCCCGTAATCTGCCATGGGGCCCCGTACCGACTCCTCATGCTGCTGCCAGGCCCGTAATCTCTCATGGGCCCCTGTACCGCTCCTCATGCTGCTGCCAGGTCCAGAGTGTGTCATGGGTCCCTGTACGGCCTCCCATTGCTGCTGCCAGGCCCGTAATCTGCCATGGGCCCCCGTACCGACTCCTCATGCTGCTGCCAGGCCCGTAATCTGTCATGGGCCCCTGTACCGCCTCCTCATGCTGCTGCCAGGTCCAGAGTGTGTCATGGTCCCTGTACGGCCTCCCATTGCTGCTGTCTCCATCGCCACACTCTGCCATGTGCCACTTTCAGGTCTCCTCACACTGCTGGTGGGTTCCATTTTGTCATAGGGTGCTGTATGGCCTCCCATTGCTGCTGCCTCCACCGCCACACTGTGGCTCCACACTCTGGTTTTGGCCCCGTGACTGCCCAAATGAGTGAAGTGTGCGGTGATTCTAAGATCGACGGCACTCATCTGCATGTCATACTGACTGACAGTATTATTTCTCTTCCCCAGCAGACTCCAAGGGCATTTAAATTAAAGGTACAGTGTTCTGCACTAATATAAAGGCTCTCTGAAGCCTAGAAACACCCTTTTTATAAGTTAAATTCGCAGCGAATATATTCGCATCGAATCAAATTTATTCCGCGAATTCGCGAAATCAGCCGAATTGAATTTTTGAATAATTTGCTCATCTCTAATTGTAACCAATAAATGCAGTTTTATAAAATACTCACGTATGGTTTACTGCATTGGTCTCCTAATGTAACCGCTTTCTGGTGGACATCTAGTTCACAAAAACCTCTCTTTGTTGATAAGTAGTGCTTGGTTACTGGGACCACAATTACACTATATTGCAAAAAGTATTGGGCCGCCGGCCTTTCCACACACATGAACTTTAATGGCCCCCCAGTCTTAGTCCATAGGGTTCAATATTGAGTTGGCCCCGCCCTTTGCAGCTATAACAGCTTCAACTCTTCTGGGAAGGCCGTCCACAAGGTTTAGGAGGGTGTCTATGGGAAGGTTGGACCATTCTTCCAGAAACACATTTGTCAGGTCAGGCACTGATGTCGGGGGAGGAGGCCTGGCTAGCAGTCTCCTCTCTAATTCATCCCAAAGGTGTTCTATGGGGTTGAGGTCAGGACTCTGTGCAGGCCAGTCAAGTTCCTCCACCCCAAACTGGCTCCTCCATGTCTTTATGGACCTTGCTTTGTACACTTGTGTGCAGTCATGTTGGAACAGGAAGGGGCCATCCCCAAACTCCTCCCACAAAGTTGGAGCATGAAATTGTCCAGAATGTCACTTTAAGAGTTCCCTTTACTGGAACTAGGGGGCAAAGCCCCACCCCTGAAAACAACCCCACACCATAATCCCCACTCCACCAAATGTTGTTACAGTTGGCACAATGCAGTCAGGCAAATACCATTCTCCTGGCAACCGCCAAACCCAGACTCATCCATTGGATTGCCAGACAGAGAAGCGTGATTGGTCCTTCCAGAGAACACATCTTCTCTGCTCTAGAGTCCAGTGGCAGCGTGCTTTACACCCACGGCATCCAACGCTTTGCATTGCACATGGTGATGGAAGGCTTGGATGCAGCTGCTCGGCCATGGAAACCCATTCCATGAAGCTCTCTACGCACTGTTGTTGGGCTCATCTGAAGGCCACACCAAGTTTGGAGGTCTTTAGCTATTGACTCTGCAGACAGTTGGAGACTTCTGCGCACTGTGCGCTTCAGCATGCGCTGACCCCACCCTGTCATGTGACGTGGCCACCACCACTTGGTGGCTGAGTTGCTGTTGTTCCCAGTTGCTTCCACTTTGTTATAATCCCACTAAGGATAGGTTCACATCTGTACGGGTGGTGCCACTGCGGATCCACATGACAATCCGTGCACCCGCACAGAGAAATGAAATGCGGACCCGCAGGAATGTGCCATTAGTTCTATTGGCACACCGACCGCACTGGAAAACGCAACTGTACTGGAAACCGAGGTTCCCGTGCGGGCTGCATTTTCGGAAGAAGTGCAGGGACTTCTTCCCTACGTGTCACGAGGCACGGGAGTCCATTTAAACGAATGGGCTCTTGTGCCCACGCAAACGTGGCCCGCACGGCCGCATATTCAGTATGTGAACCAGGGCTCACAGTTGAGCGTGGAAAATTTAGTAGCCAGGAAATGTCACGGATGGACTTATTGCCCAGGTGGCCACCTATCACGGGACCACGCTTGGAGTCACTGAGCTCCTGAGAGCGACCCATTCTTTCACCAAAGTTTGTAGAAGCCGTCTGCATGCCTAGGGGCTTGATTGTATACACCTGTGTCCATGGAATGGATTGGAGCACCTGAATCCAATAATTTGGAGGGTGGGGCCAATACTTCAGGCAGTATAGTGTATATTTAGTGAGCGGATACCTTGAACACTAGTAGCCTCCTATTCTACCTATTCTAATCCAGTAATATAAATGCTTCACCTGCAATGATAAATGTACAGTCAGTATATATAGAAGTGTTGGGTTCTCCAGACATGCAGGACTGAGATAATATCTGTTGTGTTTTTCTTTTATAGGACAGAATCCAGCGATCAGTAATTTTCTTCCTTCAGCTGTTGCATTCACCATCTCATGTGTAACATGCTGTTTGAGGATCTTTTTTAATAAAAGTAAGTTATTGCTCTTTTATCTGGAAGTAAATAAATGCCGCAAGGTGTGTATATGTCATTAGAACTGTTATATAACCTCAGATTAGACGTGCAGAACAAAAACATTCATTTAGTTTCAAATTCTATTTTAGGTTACTAAATTTTGTTTTGTTGCATTTGTAACGAAATTCATTTCATTTAGTTTTGTTTATTTGTTTTTGACCAAATTACATTTTTTTTTACAATGGATTCGAATTGAGTCAAATTTGAAAATAATTGGAAATTAATTTGAATCAAAAACAAAAATTGGAATTTTGGAAGATGACTATATTGATTCTATTCTATTTGTTTCTGTTTTATTGTTGTATTCTATTCTTTTTGAAATGTGAATTTAGTTTTGGAAGACAGCTATATTCTATTTTCTTCTATTCTATTCAAAATTCAAATTTCTCTTTTTCTATACTATTCAATTCTTTTCTATCATTTCTTTTATTTCTATTCTTTTATTTTGTATTCTATTTGTTTCTATTTTAGTCTGCTTTATTCTATTCTTTTCTATTCTTTTTGAAATGTAAATTTCAGAAGACAGTTATATTCTATTTTATTTTAATCTATTCTATTTGAAATTCAGATTTCAAAAGATGGCTATATTCTCTCTTTCCTATACTATTCTATTCTTTTCTATCATTTTCTTTTATTTTCTATTCTAGTCTTATTTTCTTTTTTTATTCCTTAATTTTCTATTCTATTTGTTTCTATTTTCTTCTGATTTATTATATTTTTTTCTAGTCTATTCTTTTTTAAGCACTTCCATACCGGGCACTTTTACCCCCTTCCTTCCCAGGCCATTTTTCAGGTTTCAGCGCTCTCAGTTTGAATGACAATTGCGCGGTCATACAACATTGTACCCAAACTAAAATTGTATTATTTTCTTCACACAACTAGAGCTTTCTTTTGGTGGTATTTAATCAACACTGCGTTTTTTTTTATCTTTTGCTAAATTAACAAAAAAAATAGACCAAAAATGTTCTTTATAAATTTAGGTCAAGATGTATTCTGCTACATGTCTTTGGTGAAAATAACCCAAATTAGGATGTATTTTTTAGTTTGCAGGAAAGTTACAGAGTTCACAAACTATGGGATATATCTGAATATTGATCAATCCTGAAGTACTGACAGCCATTCTAATTTCTTGAGGTCCAAGAATGTCAGAACAGTACAGATATCCCCCAAATGTCAGGACGGTACAGATATCCCCCAAATGTCAGGGCAGGACAGATATCCCCCAAATGTCAGGACGGTACAGATATCCCCCAAATGTCAGGACGATACAGATATCCCCCAAATGTCAGGGCAGGACAGATATCCCCCAAATGTCAGGACAGTACAGATATCCCCCAAATGTCAGGACAGTACAGATATCCCCCAAATGTCAGGGCAGGACAGATATCCCCCAAATGTCAGGGCAGGACAGATATCCCCCAAATGTCCGGACGGTACAGATATCCCCCAAATGTCCGGACGGTACAGATATCCCCCAAATGTCAGGGCAGGACAGATATCCCCCAAATGTCAGGACAGGACAGATATCCCCCAAATGTCAGGACAGGACAGATATCCCCCAAATGTCAGGACAGTACAGATATCCCCCAAATGTCAGGACGGTACAGATATTCCCCAAATGTCAGGACGGTACAGATATCCCCCAAATGTCAGGACGGTACAGATATCCCCCAAATGTCAGGACGGTACAGATATCCTCCAAATGTCAGGACGGTACAGATATCCCCCAAATGTCAGGACAGTACAGATATCCCCCAAATGTCAGGACAGTACAGATATCCCCCAAATGTCAGGACAGGACAGATATCCCCCAAATGTCAGGACAGGACAGATATCCCCCAAATGTCAGGACAGTACAGATATCCCCCAAATTACCCCTTTTTGCAAAGTAGACAGTCCGACGTATTTCATAAGAGGAATGGCAAGTTTTTTGAAGTTGTATTTTTTTACATACTGTCACCGGTGCAGTACAGCGTCAACATATAACTGGCATGGCGGTGATCAGGGACACTGACTGGTGACAGTATGGAAAAAAAAAATATATAATTTTTATTTTATTTTTTTTTATTATTTTTAAGTTTACTTTTTTTTTTTTTTTTTAAGATTTTTTTTTTTTATTTTTCACTATGACCAAAGTAGTACAATGTTACCATAGTAACATTGTACTACTTTGGGGAAGTGATCAATATTTTTTTTTCTTTTTACACAATTTGCTTATAGCAAAGAATTACTTTGCTATAAGCAAGCATTTACCTGAATGACATCGATTCATTCAGGGTTTTTTTTTTTTTTTTTGTGTTTAGCTGTTATTTGGCCATGGCTAATAACATGACACAGCTGGGCTGTGATTGGCCCAGCTTGTGGATGTGATCGCTGTGACCATTCACAGATAGACACACTAGTATACAATGGATGGCATGAATGAAGCCATCCATTGTATACAACTCTCATGTGACCTTCTGTGATTGGTCACAGCAGGTCACATGGTACTGGCAATGGGGCTGGTACTCAGATCTGTCATCGGTCGTGTCTGAGGTACACAGCCGGTGACAGATCGCGGCTCTGCGGGCATGCAAACTGCGCATTGGCCGAAAGGACGCCATATGGTGTCCACCCGAAGCAGTGAGGGTTTTTTCCGGCCGCCATTCGGCCATAGGCCGGGGCGGGAACCGGTTAAAATGTGTATTTCGGAAGACAGCTATATTCTATTCAAATTTCAAAGATGGCTATATACTTTCTACTCTATACTATTCTATTCTTTTCAAAATTCGAATTTCGAAAGATGGCTATATTTTAACACCAATGCACACAGTTTTTAAAGGAAATCACCAGTTGGCAATATGATTACAGCTTGAATTTGTTTTC